TAATAGAATAAATAGATAGAATTAAGTGAAGTCAAAATCCCTAGTAGATTTTAAAATCCGTTGATTTCTTTTGTGAAGTCAAAATCCCTAGTAGATTTTAAATCCTTGATTTCTTTTCATCAAATATGCTTGCTTTATTTCTTTTTGTTCTCTTTTATTTGTTTAATTTAATTTCTTAAAATAAATCTTTTTATTGTCATTTAAATAATAATAAGTTAACATAATTTTGGTACTTGGTATACAATCCATGTGCATATAATACTCTTCTCATTCTATATTATATTGTTAGGATTTCGTACACTTGCAAAAATCACTGTCAATTAGAGTCCTTGCTATTGAATGAGTGACATGATTCACTGGTTTCCTAACAAAAGTGTATGAAACACTCTACAGCTCATTAAGAAGAGCCTTACAATCTCTTATAATTAAAGAAAAATAGGAAAAAAAATCATGTGCAAAATCTAAAGCTTGAAAAACAATTAAGCAATCGGTCTCCACAATAATAGTATTTAGTATTCAGTAATTTGATTTGTCTGCAAGTCATTAGAATGTGAATTTTAAGTTTCAAATATTGAACAACTACATGTTCAGTGAAATATTTGCCTCGACTAAATCCATGGCTCCACGCCTCTACCTATAAACCAAACTAATAAAAATAAATTTTTTAAAAAATTTATTCATATTTTATTTTTTTTCAAGTGTATGGTCGAAATACCATCTTTTCAACAAAAAAATTTATTTTTATTGTTTTGATTCATAAACGGGGCTATAAACCCGGTCCATAGATGGTTATTAAACAAGGTATGAGGCTTCGCACAAGTTATGAGAGCATAGCAGCTGGATTTCCAAGCCTGCTAGGCAAATAGGTATCTCCATTATTGAAGAGAAAATGGTGTCATCACTTTTCTGAACATAGACTTTATGTAGTATCACTAATTCTTCATCATGAACATTATTCATCAACGTTAGTTATTGTCATCTTCCACCACGCTTTTACCAAAATAAACCATTTCCTTTATTCTTCCTCTTAGCTCGTTAACAACCTACCTCACACAACAAATAGCAAATGAAATATTATAAAAGGACCACACTATGCTTATGCTTTTTGGTGCCTGCCTATACACTGTTCCCTACTCGATTAAGCTTTAGTCTTTATATAATACTATTTTGTACACGTGTCTTCATATCTGATCAAATCTCTCAATAGTAATAATTCTAAATTTTGAATTATTAATCTTACAGGTAAGTTTATTTGAAAATACAGTTTATTTCTACTGATCTAACCGCTTGCTAATGATACTTTATAAAATATACTAGTCGTTATTCCGCGCTTCACGTTTAAAGTTTTGATTAATAATAATATTTCATTTTTATTTATTTGAGTGTTCAAAAATCAAATTATTTGAGTTTTAAAAATTTCGAGTGTTTGAAGATCAAAATATGTTTTGTACACTCTTATCTCTCATTTATTCTATCTCGATAGATTTCAAATTTGAATTTGAAATATATTGTGAATTTGAATTTGAGTTTTAGATGTAAATATGTCAAATATTGAAATATAATAAACATATTACTTAATTATTTATTTTTTAAGCCAATTTGTTTCACAATACTGAAAAATTGATAACATTTTTTTTCAGTTTGTTAGACAACAAATACAAAACACAATGATAATTTGTATAATTAAATATAATTAAAAATAGAAAAAGAGAAATGGGCGTCAATTAAATTGATAATGTCATTTACTAATTATAATTATCTATAGATTTGCTGAATTTTCATCAATAAGTTGTTCCCTTCTTTTTTATTTATTTTCTTCTCTTTTCCTTTTGATATTATTTTTAAATTACAAGAAAATTATAGAGAGAAGAGATATAAGACAATAAAAAATTTAAAAAAATAAAAGAAAACAGATTAATTAAATGGATGTTTATGTTTGATATTATTTATTGAGTAAAGTGACCGATTTTAATTTTTTTGCAAATAATCAGGCAAAATGCACTTGATTGTAGTTCATCCAAAAGCCATATAATTCGACTTGATACTGTAGATGACTTTATCACCAAATGTATATATATATAGATTGAATAAAAAAAATAAAAGCATGTTAGATATTAAAAGTAGACAAAAAAAAATAATACGAGTTATTTTTTCCTGCTAGAACGATAGCTAAAAAAATGGAGAAAAAATAGTTTCAAACTCATGGGACTGCTTGCTCTAAGAGTTATCACGTGACTGCAAGCTAGTTATACAAAACAACTTATTTAATTGATATTATTTGTTGTACAACTCAACCTAAAAAAATAAAAAAATGTTTAGTTGCAAATATTAGCTCAGCTCTTTTTACAGAAAAAAATTCAAAAACTTTCAGTTGCAAATCCATATTTATCAATTATAAAATATATTTTTTGTGTAATTTAAAATATATAGATTAATAGATTAAATTGGATGAATCATTGTTATTATTAATTTTAATTAAATTTTAAATTAAAAAATTAAAAATCATAACATAAACATAAAAATGAACTAAAATTTTCTGAAAAAAAAAAAAAAAAAAAAAAAATCTAAAATAAACATAAAAATGAACTATAAAACTTTCTGAAAAAAAAAAAAGAAAAAAAAGCCTGTATTAATTTTCTGAAAATAAATAAAAAGGAAGCCTTATGTACCTATCAATATGCCTCGTGATACCAAATCATGAGCATAGTAGAGCCTTGTATTTTACAGTTTGTAATGCAAGTCAAATCAGAGATAAATGAGTAGCATACTCAATACATTAAGGTGTGTGAAATACTAATTTCGCGTTCCTATATATATATATATATAATATATTTATATATATATATATATATATATATATATATATATATATATATATATATATATATACAAGTAATATATACAGTATTGACAAAGAAAAAAATTATTTATTCTAATTAATTTTTTTATATAAATTGAGCTGAAGAAAAGTTTTCAAAAGAAAAAAACTATGGACAAACAAACTAAACTAAATAAAAAGTCTTAACTATTGCCTCTTTCTCCATGCTTGCTCAGTGTCTCTTTTTCTCAATATCCAAATAAAAAAATAGAGCTCGTAAGAAAGATGGAGAGAACTTGTGATAAAAATGGAGGCGTAGAAAGATTATTTATATAGAGTAGTATATAATTATGAATAAAAATTCAAAATTATAATAAAAAAACTTAAAATTTTAAATATCCATATTTATTAACTATAAAATAAATAAAATATATATTTTTGGAAGATTTAAAATTTCTAGATTAATTAGATTAATTGGATGAATTTCATATTAATTGATATAAATATTAATATTTTTTTTAAATTAAAATTAAAAGCATCAATCAGATATTAAAAATAATAATTTAATTATTTTTTAAATTAAAAAATTAAAAGCATCCAATCAGATATTAAAAATAAAAAATAAAAAATGAAAAGCTAAATAAAAGAAGCGTCAATTACTATGGATGGGATAACAAATCATTAGAAGTGTAGTGTTATATAAAAAGTATAATTTGTAATTTAATTTAAAATTCATTTTAGGTAGAGTATATAATTTAAATAACTCAAACCCTATTTTATGGTAGAGAATTAGATATAAATAAGTTTCAGTAGTTTAAATAATTTGATATACATGATTTATAACAAAATATTAATTAAAATACTTAAGTTGCCCAATTACAACACACAAAAATAAGAAAAATTTTAAAAATTTCTTAAAAAAGAACAATACAATGCTAAACAAATAATGAGGGTCGAATATTTTCTTTGTTTTAGCTTTTATATAGATATATAGACAATACTAACGGCAGAAGGAGGGGTCAGGTATGACCCCGCCTCCCTTACCAAAGTTTTTTTTTTTAAATTAACCATAAGAATTTAAAATTTTTCATTTTATCCTTTAAATAGTAAATATTTTCAATTTCGTCCTCTTAACTCTTGAAATTGTTTTAACCCATAACTGTAGTTCAACACAACCTGGTGACACAAATCAATTCATTTTATAAGAAAAATGTAGCGATATCCCAATTCCGTAACCTAATCTTTTTTTTTTTTTTCTTTTTTTTGAGGATGACCTAATTTTCTATTTCTGTTAGCTAACTAATTGTTCCATAATTATTGGATCTATTTAGGAACACAGTACTGGATTCAGTAGTTCTAATTACCTACTAAACAATAATTACCATTACTCTTAATCATCATTAAAATAATAGCATTGAAGGGGCAGACATCCATTTTTAAAAAATAGAGAAAACAAAACGCAAAATTGGAAAAAGTGAAGACCAAAAGGAAGCAATTGGGCCATATAGTATCTTCCAAAATTTTGTGTTTATCTATTAGGCAATGGATATTAACAATACAAGCTGGTACTACTGGCTATTAGCAGAGGCAATATGAAATAAGTACAAACCCTATAATGTCATCTGATAATCCAAAACTTGTGGAGCTGTGTTCTTCTTTTTTTGGTAATAAGATGTGTCACATGTGCTGTCTACTGTTAAATTCACTGTTCATATATAATTAAAGTAGATTATTTATACCATCAAGCCTTGGGATGATATTTAAGTGAGATTAGGCGTTCGATCTATTATAAATAGAACAAATACTCGATGAGAGCACTTTAGTGCGTAATAGACCGACCGGATATAAGCAGGATTTTTAGTTTAATTCAGTGAATGGGATTCGTGTGGTTAAAAAAAAAGATTATTTATGTTAAAATTAGAGAATTTTCAAGACAAAAGCACATTTTTTGTAAAGATTTGAAAAGAAAAAAGTTTTACGATAGTAAAATTCGGCCTCTAAAACTTAATCTTAAATCATCTTACACGTTTTCATGTTGATTATATGTTTTTTTTTTTCTTTTTTTTTTTTCGCATTTTTCAGTTTTTGACTTCCCTGACATACCAATAACAGACACCAAGAAAAGCCAAGACAAAATCACTGCTAAGTCTAATGGGTATGGTGAGAAGAGACAATGCACATAATAACAATTCCTCTGCCCTTCTCTCTCTCTCTCTCTCTCTCTCTCTCTCAGTCTTAAAACTTTCTCATTGTAAAAACCTTATCTTCCTATCTTCCTATAGTACCAAAAAAAAAAAAATCTCTGCCAGAACTAAAGAACCTGATGAAGCTGTTTTACTTCATACTGTTATTATTATTATTATTATTTGCAAATGCAAATTCTTTGTTAACTCTAAATGGGTCTAATTCTGATAGGTTTCTAGCAAGTGAAGAAGAAGAAGAAGCAGAAGAAGAAGCTTACCTTAAATGGCTAAAAGAAAAACAAGTAGGCTATTTCAAGAATTCTCTTTTCAAGAAAGCCAAGAACAGATTCAAGCCTTGTTTGACCATAAAAGTGAACAAAAAATCAAAGTCAGGTGGTTTTGTTACTGTGCAAAAGGCGATAGATTCTATACCCATTGTTAATAATTGCAGGGTAGTTATTTCCATTAGTGCAGGAACTTACAGGTAATTGAACTTCAACTTTTAATTAATGTTTTATTAATCTTCTAATTAAGTTAATTATAGTAGTTTGTTGGAAAATGCAGGGAGAAGGTGGAGATTCCTGCAAGTATGGCTTATATTACATTAGAAGGAGATGGCACAGGCAAGACCATAATTGAATGGGATGACACAGCAGATAAAATGGGACAAGGAGGACATCGTTTGGGTACTTATGGCTCTGCAACATTTGCTATTAATTCTCCTTATTTCATTGCCAAGAACATAACTTTTAAGGTCAGTTCTGTATATCTTATTAGGGTATTCTCTGAGAAATGGGGATTTATAATGTTAGTGCTAATAGATCATCTTCTGCTTATATATATGTCTAAATCATTTCAGTTTGTAGTGTCTTATACATAAATTGAAAAATAAATTTTATTTGGAATTTTTTTAATGTTTGTAGCATTATTGAAAAATATTAATATTTTATTTTATAAGATTGTAAAAATATTTGAATCTATAAAATTTCGCTTTTTCTGTTTTTATTAAATATATTTATAATGTCACCGTTGCCCATTTGCCAGTAACAATAAAGAGTGAAATATAAGAGTTAGTGAACCAAGGGATGTAAGTCTGAGCATTCATTTTTGCAAATTTGTCATAATATGGGAAAGAGCTTACTATTCACTTTTTTAAATAGAAATTTGTTTTATTATTAGTGATTTTTCTGAGCATTCCAAACACTTAAAAATACAAATAAAGACTTAGATATGAGATAGAAACTTAAATACAACATTAACCATATGGGATAGCTCAGTGACAGAAAACACTTGCAGGGTTAATCACTATAGCTTAGATCATAGATTTAATTCTCTGACACACAAACTCTTGCCGGCCAATTCTTTTGTCTCTAAAAGCGAGCAGAGCAGACATTGGTCTGAACACCTTGTGTAAGTATAAAAAAAAAAAAAAAAAAAAAAAATTGGGGTCTGAACACCTTGTGTAAGCTAATAAAAAAAAAAAAAAAAAAAAAAAAAAAAGACTTAAACAAAATATTTCATTTACCCCTTGTTTAGAACAAATGAATTCACTAAAATTTTGTAGAATTCATTTACAAATTCATATTTTTGTGTTTGGAATGAAAAAAAAAATGTAGATATCAATTTTAGATATCAATTTTAGAAATTCAATTTTATAGAATTGAACATGACTATACTAAAATACACAATGATAGATGGAATTTTCAAATGAATTCCACATAACTAAATCATCCTAACTTTTAGGAAAAAAACATCCTTCTTCTTCAAAATCAAATTTCCAATTTTTTACTTATTTAAGTTATATATTTTGTCAAACTTGACCAAAACCATTTAAACATTTTATTTTTAGAAAAATATTTTCTTATTATTATGTTTTTTGTTTTAATATTTTTCATCTTTTATTTTTATCTTTTTTGTATTTTTTTTATTATCATGGGGAGAGATTCAAGTTAAATATGCATTTATCACTAAATTAAATGAATAATTTTATTAATATTATTTTTATTTTCTATATTTATTTTAATAAAAATATAAAAAATTATATATCATAACATGAATATAATTAGTATTTATTATTTATTTTTATAAAATTACTATTTTAAGAATATCTTAGGAAACAAAAGCAAACAAATCTTCAACTGTGAATTTATTTCATACAAGATTATCAAACGTGAAAATTTATTTATAAATAAATTCTACTAAAATTCATTCTATATTTTAAATTCATTTATACCAAATGGATCATTATTGTCTTAATAAGTTTTTGATTCAAGCTTTTATATAGTATGGCTACTTTTTGATACAATTTCAACTGCTTCGTGACAGAACAAAGCACCATCGCCGCCCTCAGGAGCTCTAGGAAAGCAGGCAGTGGCGCTCCGAATATCAGCAGACACCGCAGCATTCATAGGCTGCAACTTCATCGGAGCACAAGACACGCTTTATGACCACATAGGCAGACATTATTTCAAGGATTGCTACATCGAAGGTTCTGTCGACTTCATATTCGGGAACGGACTCTCCCTCTACGAGAACTGCCATTTGCACGCCATCACGAATAGCTTTGGAGCATTAACAGCACAGAAAAGGGATAGCATGCTTCAGGAAACAGGCTTCTCCTTTGTCAATTGCAAGGTCACAGGATCAGGTGCCCTTTATTTGGGTAGAGCATGGGGAAGTTTCTCTAGGGTTGTTTTCGCTTACACTTACATGGACAAGATTATCACTCCAAGAGGATGGTATAACTGGGGAGACAAAAACAGGGAAATGTATGTCTCTTATCTCTCTCTCTCTCTCTTTCAACAATAATCAGCTATTATTCATAACAGCTGAAGCTTAAAATGCTCGCAGGACCGTGTTTTATGGGCAGTACAAGTGTTCAGGACCGGGGGCTGATTTTGGAGGAAGAGTTTCCTGGTCTAGGGAGCTCACTGAAGAGGAAGCCAAGCCATTTATTTCAATTGGTTTCATTGATGGGCATCAATGGCTTCCAAAGTAATGATATTATGATAACTTCACATTGATTCAGACAGCATCAATTTTGAATAAGTTGTAAAAATAACAAACATGACCCATTTCTTACAACTTGAATTTGACAATAAAAAAGTGAAAAAGTTTCATCATTTTTGGCAATTGCACAAGACCAATAATTTGAATAAGTGTATTAAGAATTGCAGGAGTGAATAATAGTTATATTTACAAATGAACCATACAGAAGGATGCAGTTATTTACAATTCAAACGTTGTTTCCCACATGACAAATGTTATAACTTAGTTCTGTTTTCTGCTAAATTGACTGTACAATCCACCCATTCCAAGCAAGCGGTAGCATCCATGCTATGGCAACCAAACAAAAAAGGAAATCAGAACACAGCACACCACCATTAAAGCCAACAAATAGCAACCCTAGTGCAAATATAGAAGTTGAAGCTGTGACTTTATTTTCAATTCCTATTTGCTATTTCAACAAAACAAAATTTTACTGCTTCGAAAAACCACAACAACAACAACAACAAAAAAAAAAAAAAAAAAAAAAAGACGCTATGTAATTTACCTCACTATCTCTACTAATTTACAACGTGATGGTGTTATGCAAAGCCTTTATTATATTTTATAGCCTATCCTATAACTATCGAAAGGCTGAATATATTTATTTACAATAAAGTTTGCAAATTGTTATAATTGCACCCCATTTTTATTTTTATATTTTTTTTACTATTGCACCCTAATTCAATAATTTGGTTGCAATTGTACCTCACAGTCAAAGTTGCAAAAACAATAATAATATTTTTTTTTTTGTCAGAATAAAATAAATAAATTTTTTAACTTTTTTTTCCTAGTTTCTCTCTTCTCCACCACCATCATGGTAGCCAATATCTCACACAAAGATCCCTTAAGAATTCAACAACTATCGGTGGTAATGGAAAACATAAATGGAAAATCTTTCTACCACCACTGTAATTCGAATCCTAAACCTACTCACCACCTATACTCTGTTTGTTACAAATGAATTGAAACTAAGAAATTGTTTATAAATGAGTTTTAGGTAGATTCATTTGTAAATGAATTTTTCATATTTGTTATATTTAGTTTAAAACAATAATTCAATTAAATTTGCATGATCATGTTTTGAATAAATTCAAAATTGAAAATTCATTTACTTTTATTTCCAAAAATGCCCTTGACATAATTATTCTAGAAGACTAGAAGAAGGATGAATAGTTTTGTGATAAAATTTTTATGAAAGCCTTTCATTTGCTTCTCTTGATAGAAGTTGAATAGCAACATTAAACTAAAATTTAAGTTGTTTAATTTTGTGGAATCCATTTGAAAATTCATTTGAAAATTCCACATATTTTGGTAAAATTTAGTCTCACTATATTCACTTCCATAAAATTGAATTCGTAAAATTAAAATCTCTATGTTTTTCATTCCAAACACACAAATTTGGATTTATAAATAAATTTCACAAAATTTGAGGGATGCAATTATAATAATTGTCTACTTTGGCGTAAATAAATATTATTAAGCCTTATTAAAATGAGGTCACCCAAATCTAACCGCATTTAATCAGATTTGGTAATACAGAATTCTTTTTTTTTTTTTTTTTTCCCCTCCTACATAAATTGATTTTTACAAGCAGTTAAACGTACCAGAAAAGAAAAGGATCATGACTGAAAGAGAGTTACAGTTGCGATATAACCATTTTTCATCACCTGTTAAACATCAAAGAATATATTTGTTAGCAAGAGCAATGCAACAGGACTTGCACCCACGGCTATTACACATAAGTTGCAAAGTTGAAAATTTTGTTTTTTTGACTAACAATAGCTCAACTTTCATCCTCAAAAACAATATTGATATAAAGTTATCTAATGACTCACCTCAAAGGCAATATTCTGGTAACCATATACAAATGTGGATCCAAAAGGATTACTTGTTGAACCCTGAGTTTGGATAGCTGCTCGGCCACAGTCACCAAGGATTTCCTGAAGTGACTAATAATTCTTTAGTTATAACAACCCTTCTTAAGGACAAAAGCAAAATTTCTAATGCCAATATTTCGAGAAGGAAAGATGAGGGAACATAAAACTAAAGAATCTAACTAAATGCAAGTATGCTTGCTACTTGAATATGTTCATGAGATTCTAAAATCATAAAGAAGAAACTAAGTTTAAAATCAAAGCATCAGAATAGGAAGAAAAACAGAAGTATATATCCTGAAAGTCATAACAAAAGGAGTGAATTAATTTAAAAGGTTGATTGTGAATCCAAAGGAACAGAAAAAGACATTAAAAGGAAAAGCCCTAAAGAAGCAAAAAAGGTTGAAAGTATATGGAACAAAAATGAATAATTTACAACATGCCTCTAAACAGCAAAACAGTGTTCAAAGATAAAAAGCTACCCCTACATAATCATTGATATACTGCCAATAAATTTCTGATTGATATAGGTAGATTTTTATTTATTTATGTTTTTTGGAAAATTGCGTATCCAAAAAAAAACTTATATATAAGAAAAAAGGAATTCCAAATTAAAATTGAAACAAGCAGTTTGAAAATTTGTACCTTAACTTGATCCCATTTTGTGCTTGGCGTAATATGTTTCGAGTTATTCACTTCAGTAAATACCCACAAGCAAGACATAAAAATATTTTATTAGTTTCCCCATTAAAAGTGCGAACCAAAGCCCTCTAAAAAATGGGTGGGAAAGGCACAGTCAGAACCTTGAATAATAAAGTTGCATTTTATATACGAATTAAAATCTGCATGACCAGGATAGTTGGTGTGTAAAACAAACTTCTTGATCTTATGAGTCTGTAAACAAAAACATGGTCATAAGTGTACCACTGGAAAGACATTTCTAAACATAGTATCAGGATAAAAACCATTCCGAACAACATGCCATGCTCCAAAACCACAAAGAGAAAGAGGTAAGAATGGAGGAGGAGAGGGAAGAAAGAGAGGGGAGGAAGGGATGAAGAGGAATTAATAGTTTAATACCTGTCCATCAAATAAGATATCCAGACCACGAGTGAAATAATTATAAAAGTAATCTCCACAAAGGGTCGTCCGTGGACGAGGATCAGAAGAAGAGTGAATGACCATTTGATCAACCTGTACAGCTAACGAAATCAATATATGCCAACTAGTTGTATTCATGAATCTATAAACAATCTAGCAATTGGAACAAAAATAAGCAAAAGATGCCTTCGTATTTGGCATCCTTTCAATTGAAATGAGTTCATCATCCATCCATAGAATCACAGTCAATATCCACCACCAGTAATACTGCTTAATAGGTCAAGTCCTACAATATCTAATCAGTAGTAAGTCCTAATTTTTCCCAAAATAAATAGCTTATAACAGAATCAAGACACATTTAGCAACTTTAAATTACCTGCTTCTGATGAATACCACAAGGGCGGCCTAATTCAGTCCAAATATCCTGCACTTAAAAGAAGAAGGACATTTAAAATTCTAAATTATTCCTGAAACTTTTGAGGGTGTAGTAAAAAAATTCAGCAAGTTATACATTCAATAAACTTTAGAGAATGTTTTTAACAGCTTATTACTAAATCATTGAATGCAATTTGAATAACTTTATCTCAAAGTTTACATTTAACTGTAAAATTGATGATTTGAGATCATTGATATCAAACTAAATGTCAAATTAATAAATTATAATTTAGCTGACAAGATAATCAATCAAATTGGTTTAATGAATTCCTTTTAAAATGAAATATTTGTTCCTAAATCTGTGACAAACACATGCATACATGCTTTGAAACACACATTCATATTAGGATTAGATAAAGGGATAAGAAAATTTATCACAATGAATAATAAAATAAATTTTGATTCGCATTCAAAACAATAAGGTAAAAAAAGTAAATTCATGTAAAGCATGGGCTTTATTGTATATGAATTGAAATTGACATGTTATAATTGTAATTGTTTTATATCTTTTTATGTCAAGAAATCAAATATATACAAATTGACATATGCATATTCATGAAAGAGAGAAAAAAAAAATTGGCTTCACAAAATATATATAAAAAAAAAAAAAAAAAAAAAAAAAAAAAAAACTACATACATACATTTTATGGATAGACCCACCGAGGTGATTGCATGATTTTTGGGGTTCACAAATGCACATGGGAGAAATCATGAGTGGTACATTATCTCTAAATTTCTGTTAACCCTAATTAAGAACTACATGATGCCAGGCAAATTGAAAGCATCATGAATGAGTAAAGTACATACCAAGTTCAGGCTGTTCCAGGGAAAAGTTTAGAAGAACTATACAAGTTAACAATTTAACATTGGTGCTAAACCACATACAAACAAACACTTACCTGTGGTGATGATCCAAAAGGAATATGTTGCCCCCCAGTAGAGAAGTACAACTCTTCACCAAGCTGCAGACATCAATGTGGAATTAAAAACAGATCCAAGAGAAAAATTAAGAGGAAAAAAGTTTTAACCTCTTAAGATTAAGAACACAGAGCCATATCTACATGATATTAGATACTGATAGAAAAACTGTTAAGTAGGTAGCCATTCACGAGCGAGAACTGATCAACTGATTAACTAGACAACTTAATATAAAAGAATAATGCCCAAGCTGATTAAAAAAATATCACACCTTAACATGCACCTCTTCCATGTACAGGCTTCCAGCAGCCAATGGAGGAGCAGAAGCCTTATCCATTAAGGACCCAACACCAACTTTTTTGTCTGTAGAACTATCATATATGGAAACACGGCATGTTACTGGTGTGGTACCATCTGGAAACTCCAGTGGCAGTTCCGCTACCAGAAAAATAGAAATAGTTAAAGTAGAAAATTACTAAAAAAAAAAAAAGTACATGTTCAAGTGAAAATATATGATATATCACAATACCTTCTCCATCGTGGCAGCAATCTGTATATTGGCTAGGAATAGGAAAAGCGAAGGACAGGCCCTATACAATACAGACATCAAAACAAAAACCACAATAAACAGTGTGTCTTCCAAGAGATGAAAAATTCCGACTGTAAAGTTTTCCATGGACATACCGGGTAGAACAGAGTATACACTCCTCTATCTTTGTCATAAATTCCAGGAAAAGTTGGACCAAAAAGTGCATATACTGCTACAAAGGTAGCTAGAGTGGATGGTCCCCTAAATGTTACAATAATATCAAACAATTATATACGCATAAACGGAGAACAAAAATATTTTGTAAAAGAAAAAAAAGGTTAAGAACAAATAATACCCAATAAGAGAAGTGGCATATCGCATTTGAAGCCGTTTGACATCAAAAATTTCAATCAAGCGTAGTCTCTAACAGAATAGAAAGTTTAGAGTATGGGCAACAAAACAGGTCAAATATTAGACATTATAAGTTATCAAGCAAAAGAAACCACCCAAAAAAAGAAAAGGAAATCACACCTGGGACCAAGGATCAAATCTAAGATGGAAACCATGATCTGGAAAGCTAATGACAATATCAAGCTTAAGTGGTTCCTGCATGTAACAGTCTCAGTAACAAGTATTGTAATGTTGCAGAAACAAATACCAAATACCAAATACCTCAAAAACAAACAGGGGACAGTAAATATAATACATTACGTTGGAAACAAGTGAAAAATAAGAGACTTAGGAGTAAGTTCATGAAGAATTAGTTATTATAAGGCGTAAGGATTTATAATGAAAATTGTCTCTTCCCTTATCAACCTCTGTTATATCTCCCTCTTCTCCGCCTTCTACCCCCCCCCCCCCTGTTTATATCTTCCCTCTTCTCCGCTTCTACCCCCTCCCCCCCCCCCCCCCTACTATCAATTCTCTTCCCTTACCCATTTTCCTTCAACTTTTAGTTTGTCAATCTGTCATAAACTCCCTGGGAATTGTCCCAAACATCATAGTCGCCTCTGAAAACACAATTCTTAATTCTGCAAATATCAAAATCTATTTCTCTTCTTATCATTCGCAAATCACCTACCAAAGTAGAAACTCAATTCTACTCGCAACATTTGGTATCATATCATAAATTAAAAAATTTAAACAAAATTATCAGATCCAAAACTTAAAAAGTTCACAAAATAATAACAATTCGAACCTCATCATAGTACTTCACATGAACGACGTCGTAAATGTTCGGCTGCTGCTCAATTTGGGCAAACGCTTCACATATCGGCATACCTGAAAACAAAGGAAAGAAAAAATCAATCCAACTTTCTACCGAGCCAAACAGAATAACATTCGGATCAAAAATAATTCAGTAAACAGATGCTGTTTAATTGGACGCAAGAGAGAGAAAGAATGAAATTACCGAGAGTGAAAGGGCCGATACCAAGTCCAGGGCGGAGATCAAGAACGATAGCTCCCATGGCGGTCCCTTCACACCGTCGACGAGGCCGCTGCGGCTGCTGTTGGTGCTGCAACATTTTGAATTTGTGCAGTCTATGTTTGTTTTGTATTTCGGTATATTATTATCTCCGTTACTTTCGCGATAGAAATTCTCGATTAGGCGTTGGATCGGTTTTTATACCAATCATCTACTCCTCTGTTGTCCTAAAAAGCTTGTTGTCGTTTAGTACACGAAATGTCAAGATCATCGTGGCAACTCAACTGGAGGGTACTTTTAAAATGCATAACTCGAACTCCATCCATTCCGAACTCATTTATAATTACGTGACTTCGTTTCAAAATCCAAATTCGTTTAGATACCATTTAATATTGAAAATTTTTTTATTTTTCATTTTAAAAATAAAAATTAATTGAAAATTATAAAATTAAATATATAATATTAACTTAACAAAAAAATAATATAACATTAATTATAATTAAAAGCTTAAATATAAAATTTTTTTGTAAACAATAATTATTTTAAATATTAATTAAAAGAGTAGTAATAAATAGCGTATATCGGAATTTTTAACTAGATAGACCCATCAAAAATCAAACTAGAGATCACAGAGCATTCTTACCGGTAGAGGATCATTTGCAATATGCATTTATCATTTATAAATTAGATCATTAAAAAGTTAATTGGATCATATTAAATTCGGGCAAGATTTTTGAATTTGGGTCTAACCCAGGCCCAATTTTATTGTGTCCTCCAACAATATGTATACATATATACTTTTTTAGAAAACGTTAATATCTTTTTTCCTCAAAAAAATTAATATATTTTAATTTTAGACTATTTTTCTCTGAACATGCCTACATACTATTTATACTCATTTTATATTTTCATTAATTAATTTATTATTAAAAGTTTATCTAAATTTAAAGAATTATAGTGATATATTCAAAAAAAAAAAAAAAGAAATTATGGAAAATTGGTGATGAAACGGTATTCTTTTAAATTTTTAATATTGAGATCCTATTGCAAGTCTTGATTATAATAGAATTCTCCAAAAAACCATTCGTTAGATTATAAAGTGTATCAATTATCATAAATACTCCTTGTTTCAAAGTTATAGTTAGGCATGGCCAAATTACGGTTCCGGGAACCGGAACCGTCGGTTCGAACCGGCCCGGAACCGTAACCGGAACCGGTGAGAACCGGAACCGCCGGAACCGTAAACCGGAACCGGTGCAGAACCGGAACTTGGGACGAACCTGGAACCGAAACGGTTGATATATCCCGGTTTCGGTTCGGTTCCTGCAAATGAGGAACCAGAACCGGCGGGTTTCCAGAGCCACCGTCGGAACCAGGACTGGAACGCGGTTCTCCGGCCGGTTAGAACCGGCGGTTCTAGCCGTTGTAACTTGTCAGATTTTTGGATTTTTTTTTTTGTGAAATGTCCTTAATTCCCCTCCCACAAGCCATAACGGCTATATAAAACGTAGTTTTAAGGATATTTTTGGAAAAATGAATTTTTTGGATTTATTATAAAATACCTCATTATTTACAAATTCATTAACAAAAAAATATCAACTCTCTCTACGTACTTCTGTCTACATATAACTGACACTCTCTAATTACTTCTCTAACAATATACTACACTCTACTCTAATTATTCATTTATTCTTCTCTACTCTATCAATATCTCTTATTAAGTAAACTTATTTCTCTAATTTTTTATTCAATTTTCCAAATTAATATTTTATTATCATATAAAAGTGGAGGAAACTCAAATTCGGGTAAGGGCAAGGGAAAAATTGGAGAATCATCTATCCCTACAAACGACATCTATGATATGATTCCCGACCAATGTAATTTTGAGGGTTTTCCAAATGAAAATTTGGATATTCCAACTCAAGAATCCGAATTTAATGAGCAATTTTAAGAAGATGAAGAGCAAGAGCAAGAGCTACGAGCAAAAATTGTTACAAGAGCAAGATAAAGTTCCGACATATTCTCCATTCATTTCACAAAAAAATTCAAAGGTGAGAAAATGTACGATATAATTTGCAATTATTTGCAATTATTGTGGAAAATCTTATAAATTTAAATAAGCGGACGGCTATGGATCATTTTGGAAGCATTTGGAGGCAAAACATCCAACAAAAATAGTAGTTGATCGGTCTCAACAACAAATTTCCGGGTACGCTTCTAACCTTTCTTTATTTAAATATTCTGAAAAAATATAAAAAGAAGAATTAGCAAAAATGATTCTAATGGAACATTTATCTTTAGTTTTGGTGAAAAATTAGGTTTTAATAATTATGTCAAAAGCTTTAAATCCTTGTGCTAAAAGAGTACCAAGAAATACTGTAAAACAACTATTATTTCTTTATATAACAAAGGAAAAAAAGAGGTTAGAACTTTATTTTCTCAATTGACATTCGTGTTTCAATTTGTTGTGATGTTTGGAGTGATTCATTTAGCAAATGCATTTTATATGGGTATACATGTCATGAGATTGATGATGGAATTTGGAAAAATTCAAAAAGTAATTATTGGTTTTCGTGTTTTTTTAAATGATTAAACATACTAATATTTATAGAATAATTGTTTCAATTTTAGATGAATATAAGTTGACAAAAATTTTTTTTTCAATTTCATTTGATAATGCTTCTGCTAATAATAAATTAATTGTTGAACTTAAAAATATTTGTGAACCAAATATTGGTGGAAAATTTTTTCATACAAGATGTGCTTGCCATGTTTTAAATTTAGGTGTATAAGATGGTTTGAAAATTCTTGAATCTTTTATTTCTCCAATTAGAAAAGCTATTTCATATTTATGGGGACATCTCCAAGTAATGAAAAGTTGGGCTAAATTTTGTAAGGAAAATAATAAAAGACCAAAACATTTTCCAAGGGATGTCCCAACTCGTTGGAATTCGTTGGAATTCAACATATGATTACTTAAACGAGTCTTTTTTCTATAAAGAATTATTATGGTTTTTTTAATTATTGTGCATTTTTGTTACTAATAATATTGAAGAAATTAATTTATATCCACAAAATTGGGAGATTTGTGCAAAAACTTTGGATATTTTAAAAATTTTTAATGATGCTACATATAAATTTATTGGGGTTTATTATCCCACATCTCATTTATTTTTGCCTATATGCATTAATATTATTACTGTACTTCAAGAATTTGAAAATGATATTTTATTACAAAATTTTGTTTTATCAATGAAAAAAATGGTTATCTTATTTTAAAAATATACCACCTCTTTTTCTTGTTGCTTGTGTATTTGATCCTAGATGTAAATTTGAAATTTTATCTAAATATTTGACTCTTTATTATGAAATATTAAATCTTGATAAATCTTGATGTAGAAAGAATGTTAATATAAATGTAACTAGTGCATTTGAAGTTAAAACAAAATACTTATGCAATTTATAATGAATTTGGTTTTTTCAAGTTTTCTAGTTCACTACCTCTATTTCTATTCTAGCTTCTTGCTCAATCTAATATTCCATCAATTTTCAAACACAAAGGGTGAAGTGGTGTTGATGTTGCTCAAATCAAGTTTTTATTGCAAAGTATAAAAAAGAACAAGGGAATCTCCAGTTCTATTTCTGGAAATTTGACAAATTATCTAACAACTTCTTTTTGAGTTTTGGGTGATAATTAGGCAAGAGTGCAGATTTTTCCAATTTTAGATTGGTGGAGTCCATCACGCAAATATTTTTTCCAATTCTTTCTTTACTTGCAAAACAATTTTAAGCAGCTCCGGTCTCCACTGTTGCGGGTTGAACAAGCTTTTAGTCAACGGAGGTAAACATACTTGATTGAACATACGATCTCGTATGACACCCGATTTCATTAGAAGCACAAGCGGGTGGCGTGGATTAGGAGTTGACCCAAAGCCGAATAAGAGCCAAGAATCCAAAAAGAAAATGAAGATTTATTTGATTTACGATGGGTCCTCAACGGGAACATCCAACCGGTGGGTGCAAATAGCGATTTAAGGTAAGGGGTGAAATTGATATAGGTAAGTAAGAACTCGTGGGCTTTTGATTCCTCTAAACCCCAGAAGGATCGTAGGTCAACTTAATTTTTTTAAAACAAAAAAAAAATTAAGTTTCAAGCGATTCGCCATTTTTTTTTTTAATTTTGTTCAAACTTAAAAAAAAAAAATTCAAGTTCAAAATTTTTTTAAAAATCATTATGTTCACACTCAATAATTCAAGTTCTTTAAAAAAATAAATTTAATCTGAAGTATGTTTTTAATTTTTAGGTGTATTTTTTAATTTTTTTGTTCATATAATTTTTTTTAAACCGTCTTCAAAATTTTTAATAATTTTAGGTGTTATTTTTTAAATTTTTTCATGTTCAAACTAATTTTTTTTAAACCGGTCTCATTATTTTTAAAATTTTTAACTTGTATTTTTTAATTTTTTATTGTTCAACATAAAATTTTTTTTTAAACCGGTATCCAAAATTTAAAATTTAAAATTATGCGATTCGCCGGAAAACCAATCGGAACCGTCGGTTTTGTAATCAGATCGGAACTGAAACCGGAACCGGAACCGAACGGTTCGGAATCGGAACCGGAATCGGACCATTTCGGTTCGGTTCCGGTTCCAGCTTTTCTGGAACCGGAACCACCGGTTCCGGAACCGTGGCCATGCCTAGTTATAGTGCTGTGAACTTAGTTACGTTTGAACCAATCAACGTTAAAAGATTAGTACCATGAATTAACTAATTTGTCAAATCATATAAATGCATAGGAATTCCATACTATTAGAGCTAGAAGAAGCAGGCTGAGCATTTAATTCCTCAACCAATACTATTAATAATAAGATCTTTAATTGCAATTATTTTAAGAGAGATGTGAAAACTGTCAATTAATTCCTTAAAAAAAAAAAAAAAAAAAAAAAAAAAAAAAAAAAGAAAAAACCTTAAAAAAAAAAAAAAAAAAAAAAGAAAAACACTTCAATGCTGTTTTGATGGAATTCAAAGTTTCGATTTTTTTAATACAAGTTAATTTGAATTCACATTTTGAGAATTTGATTTTTAAATTTTAACTATTTTTTGGATTAATTCAATTCGAATTTATGTTTTAAAGGTTTTTTTATCCTTATCTCTCTCCTAATCAAAAATATTTAAAATTTACAATTAAATATTATAAATATTTTTTAAGATAGTTTTTTAATTGGCTATCACTAAGACTATTTTAATATATTTTAAATTGTAGTAAAATCAAAATAGAAAATCT